CTCAAACTCTGAATATGCAAGTGGTGCTATTTTATTTTTCGCAGCTGTATGTATAAATAAACGCATATACAATTATTTATTATAGAAGAAGGAAGATAAGCCATAACCAATATACCCGTTTCATTTGGTGAATGAGCATAAACATACATACATGTAACTATCTAATATAGATGAAATACACTGGACAAACCAATATACCTATTTCAGTATGTGAATGAGCATAAACATGTACAGAAACACCCACGTGATTATCTATATAGATAGAAGAGAAGACATAAGCCAATATACCCATTTCACGTTGTGAATGAGCATACGTATATACCCATTTATATATACACAAACACCCATCTGATGTAAATAGAGCTAAATGAGATAAATCAATATACCCGTTGCACTGTGTGAATGAGCATAAACATATACGCAAACACACAGGCGATTATCTAATATAGATGGAAGACACGAGGTAAACCAAACATATACATATGAACATCCATACCAACACACATGCGATTGCATAATAGAGGCGGCAGACAAGAGTTTTAATTGAATATTACATTACATATCAGCTGGAGCGGACCATGAGGCTGGCTTGGAATAGATATTGTCTTGCAGAAGCCAATCAATGCAGCTGCTCCCGATGTTTATATTGCCGTTAGCCGGATACTGCTTGCTCTTGGCCAGCCAGTTGACCCTGCCCAGACATGCGGCCAGGCAGCAGGACAAGTTTGCAGACATTTGGCAGCTATCATATTTGCCAATGTCTGCCTTCACTTGCCATCGGATATCTCGCCCAAAACTTGCATATAAACTGTGTCCGTGCTGAAAACTCTGATTGAGATGGCAAATCGCCAAGCTGTGCGTTTCCATGCCCCTCCACCTACCGCCCCTAGTATTTGTTAAGTTGTCACTTGCAGACGACAGCAGGCAAAGCCACCCACATCAGCTCGCATGCATGTAAGTGCATGCACGCATGCATGCGTGCCCCCCTCTTCCTCTCTCTCTCTCTCTCTACCCGCATGTGAATGACAAAACAATTGCGTGCGTCAACGCGAGCAAGTGCAGCCGCAGCTGCTGCAGCTGTGGCTGTTGTCTCTGAATCCGCGACCAGCTGTTAGCCAAATGGAGCATTTTATGGCCGACAACAGTTTTGGGTGGCTCCAACCGGCATTTGTTCAGCTCAACATGATTGTTGCAGCCATGGGCATATAGTTTCAGCACTTCTCTGCTCACCCATTGCAATGCACTTGGCAATTTACCCGATTCGATTTAGACAATAGTGGGATTCGATGGACTAATGTTTATGGTGCGGCCAACTGTGCTAAATAAACTTTCCTGAGAGCTTCCGTTGGGTGTGACTGACTAGAAAATACTGTGAAGCATTGAGCCTGCAGTCGACTCCCCCCTTCCACACTTGTGCCCATTGCTGCTGCAACAATTTCAGCATTGTGAAATCTTCGAATGAATATGCTCAACTATAAAATATTTTCACTGTTATCACGTTTCAACTGGAAGAAGTAAGAAAACTCTATTTACAACCAGGGCTGTTCTGAATATCGAATGATTCAAGCTTTAAAATACAATGTAGTCATTGAAGCAGAAATTTAAAAAAATAATTGCTTAGTTTATAGTTCATATTCTCATGTCTCAAGTACGGGTTTTTCATCTAGCTCACAAGATTCTCAATAACTTCTGAATTAGTAAGGCGATTATAATGCAATTGTGCGCATATAGTCTTTACATACTCATGATTATATGGCCATTTATAAAGTATGCAAATGGTATTTCATATCGGCAATTTTTAAAGCTGACTTTCCATTTGAAGAATGTTCACAAAGTATAATAACAATAAATATTTAAAAAATACATAGTTTTATAAAGAATAAAACTTGGATTCTTGCTTTAAAGATGTACGAAATATAATTTTATAGATAATCTTAAACTAGCTTTTTAATCGATAGTACTACAACGGGAATATTTATCGGCTTTAAATAGGGTTGCTCTTTCAATATTAAATCTGTAGCTCAAACAGAGACAGAGATCGACAAGTTTATACATAAGAACAGAGGAACTGAAAGGCAAACGAACAGGACTAGATTGATACCAGAATTAAAGGGATATATGTATATATAACCATACCCATAATGCCCATTTTCAATGTGGACCCCGGCTTCTCAAGCACTCAGGTGTTATGCCTATCATATCCAACTAGTAAGTACAGGGTATACAGTATTATTAGTCAGCACTTCCCTGGAAACTGTTATCTAAACAAAGTCGTGTCTGTTTATGCTGCCAGCCTTAAGCCACATTTGTAACTGAAATTCGTAGACAGCTTTGCTCACGCAGTAGGCTTCTCGAATGGCACACAGCTGGCGCTGACTGGACTGCCGTCACTGTCATTCCCGGTGGAAGTGGAATCGAAGCTAGTCGTCTAAATTTCATGGAATATTAAGCAAGCAAACAAATTCAAGCAAAGCAATACATATTTTTTCAGTACATTCGAAACGGGTGAGTAGAGCGCAGCGTTTCGCAAGCGAACTTGGCTATATTATTGAAGCGGTCGCAGTACTCCGTGCAGCGATTGAGGGCATCAGCATGGCATCGGGCATCGAGGTTTCCACGGAGTGCAAGGGCATTTTCGAAGAGATACGCAAGCTGAAGCAGCATCGCTATGTGATCTATGCCATCAAGCAGGAGCGCGAGATCATCGTGGATGTGGTTGGGCGTCGCACTGCCAGCTACGATGATTTCCTCAACGATTTGCGCCGGGGCGGACCGGATGAGTGCCGTTATGCGGTCTACGATTATGCCTATCATCATCAGTGCCAGGGCGCGTCGTCGACCTGCCTGAAGGAGAAGCTCTTCCTGATGCTCTGGTGTCCCATGCAGGCCAAGATCAAGGACAAGATGCTCTACTCCAGCTCGTTTGCTGCACTCAAGAAGGAGTTCAACGGTGTACAGAAGTATATTCAGGCCACCGAATTGGATGAGGCCTGTCGCGAGTGTGTTGAGGAGCAGCTTCGCCTGCTGGACCGCAACTAATTTAAGTAACATATACAACAACAGCAACAACAACAACAACAACACTATCACTACTATTACTTAAACTAATACCAACACGAATGCCAACACATTAATAATCGCAAGCACTAGCAAAAAAACGAAAAAAAAAGAAGAAACGGAAGCAAGAACCAAAAACAAAAACACATCGTAAACCCCATTAACTGGCAGCCAAATTGGCTATCAAACTGTTGAGTTGCTTAATTAACTTTAATCTTCTCGCTTATTAAAGCATTATTCCCGTTATACATACACACACAGAGAGACAGAGAGAGAGGAAGAGAGGGAGAGAGAGGAAGAGAGAGACAAAGACAGTTCAAGCAAGACAACGCCATCTTTAGCATCTGGATATCGAAATCTGTTGAGCTACATAGGCTCCACATGGCGCCACATTTGCAACTGGCTCCGCTTGGTGGCAATTTGATTTGATTTTGCCGCTTCTAATGAGCCCATTTAACATTTGGCTGGGCGCGGCCACGCCACGCGGCATCATTTTGCAGCGTCAACTGTAATTTATGGCGGCCCCACCCTCAACTGATGGCACTCCGCCCCCCACTCACTCGATGCGACGCCTCCCCCCGTCGGTCTGGGCTAAAAATAATACGAAGACGACAAAACTTTTGCCATTGAGACTTTTTATCTCATTCATAAATCATGACCGAGTTGAGATTCGCAACCAGCCGCCTTCAGCCATCGGCCTCTATCCAGCCTCCAGTCTTCAATCAGCAGCCTTTCCATTTCATTTGGCAGCGCATTTGGAATTAATCAAGCCGAGAATGAGCACGTCGCCTGCTTAAATTAAGACTCCAGCGAGATACAAGAGAATTTCTTACATTCTGAGTGCAATAAGCCCAATAGTTCGAGGCTCGGCGACCGGCTAATGGCGAGGCAAGCCAGCGTCAAATGCAAATAAACACAGACGATATATATATATATAATGGCATTTGGTTTCGATCGACTTGCGGTGTACTCGAACAATGGCAGCTCGTTTGGCCGGCGATGCCCCAGAAGGGAATTGGAATTGGAGCTCATGAATATTCATCATACGCCCCGTTGCGGCGGCTGTCGCCCAGCAAAGCTACTTGGAGCCACAAGAAGGAAGTTGATAACAAAGCAGATTCAAGTGGAGCTTGCAGCATAATGCATAAGGAAACAATAACAAGAGACACCACCACAACACAAAGAGAGAGAGAGAGACAGTGAGAGAGGGAGAAAGGAGGGCGAGGGAGAGAGGAAGAGACACAGAGCGAAAGTGAACAACACAGAGACAGAGGGAAAGAGAGAGAGAGACAACGAGCACTACACCACCTACACACACACCACCCACACCACCCACACCACCCACCCCACCCACACACGCACACAAAATCAAAGCAAAACTGAAAAGGGCACAGAGCAAACAAAACACGAGCCAAAAATCCACGCAAATCTAGTGGAAAATTAAAATTTTGCCAATTTATGCGTGCAACAAGGACAGCAAATGCCAGCCAGCGCCAGAGCGTAACGCCAGGATATTGGAGCAAAGGTAGCGCCAGCGAGAGGGTGGAGAGCAATCCAAAATTCGTTTGTATAGCAAAACACATCCAACACCAACAAGAAGAAGACCAAAACAACAGCGAAATAGAGGAAAAGAAGTGCGGCCGCCCACATTCTGGCGTCCGTTTGAACAGAGAGCACATTCCGGCCAATGGCCTCCAATTTGATTGGAGATGCCGTGACATTGACTGCTCAATCGGTTCGCACCTTGCCAGTTAATCAAGGTTCAACTATCAAGCAATTTATTAAAATTAAATGCTATTCGAAACACAAATTATATGTATTGACTATTGAAATACCCTGTGCTTTATTGGTTTTGAGGGAATCAATGGGAGTCCGAATCGTATGCGGCGGGATCGTCAGCTCAGCGATTGGCAATGTCTAGAAAATAGAGATGAAGGAACATATTGGTTTCGGTCTGCCTGTCTAACCTTCCGTCTCTTTGCAGTTCATCCGTCCGTATGTCTTGCCGTACGTTCGTCTATCTGAACTACTGTCGGTCAATACGTCCGTATATCTGCTTGGTCGTGTTTAGATCCGTCTGGCTTGCAGTCCATCCATCTGTATAGCTTGCAGTCAGTCCGTGTCCGTTCGTCCGTCTTGTATGTCCGACCGTATATCAGGCTGTCTGTCCATCATACTGCCCACTGGTTCGTCCGTCTTCCCATCAGTCCGTCCGTACATCTTGATGTCTGTTTTGCTGTTTATCCTTGCATCCGTCAAGCTGTCCGCTTGATTGTCCCACTTTCCGTCCGCTCGTCTAGCTATAAAAAGCCATTGAAACTAGAGACTTTCCCAAATATTATATTTATTATTTTGGGAGGGCATGAGAAATTGGTTAAAGCCATATCCTCCAAAGTTTTCAAAATTTGTTATTTTAATTACTGGAAAGCTTTTACTGACGTCTTCATAAACTCTCTTCAGTTTGATAAATCATGGCTGGAACAGCGATTCGTAGCACAGAAAACAGAAAGTTTGCCCAATCTCTAAACAGACCGTGCTCAGAGCGCCCTTGATCTGCGTGACAAACAAGTCTCCCCCCGGAGATTTGAGTCGACCTATATATAGGTGAAACAAAAACAGATGACCAGGTCCTTTGACTCCTTTGTTTATTTATAGTGAATTTCTCATCGAAAGTTAATTTAATTTGATCCAGGTTTTTTGCATTCAACCTCTATGTAAACATGTATACGAAAATTGGTCCGCGCTTAGAGATTCCTATGTATTCAGTTGAGTTGCTTCGCCGAACGGATATGTTGTGGTGTTAAAATCGAACTGTTGTATGTGGGAACGTGTTGGGAATATCAGCTAATGTTACTGGAACGATTGGTACTGGTAATCATAGTTACAAAATTTAAAATCAATGGTGAGCATGGTGTGGCTGCAATGGACCACAGTGTGTCCCCATAGTGGGCAGCACTGATTGATTGCATGTCTATAGCAGGTGTTCGTGCACGCTCTCCATGTTGCTGCTGGAGGTGGTGCAGCTGCCGAGCAGTAGGGGCGGCACCGGCTGCGGCAGTTGGTCGCGATTGAGTGATGATTTGCCGCCGGAGCGACGGGAGCGCTGCTGCTGGCGCAGCGACCAATGCAGCCGGTAGAAGTCCTCCTCGTCGGACAGCTGCTCGGCGGAGCTAGCCACTGGCCTCGGCGTGCGCTGGTGTTTGCTGACTTTGGTCTTCGACACCGAGTCGCCGGGCAGGGCGCGCAGGGGCACCGAGGTCTGGGGTAGGCTCATTTGGGAGTCCGGCTTATTGGTGTTGCTCCTGTCGTCGTCCCAGGCGCGCATCATGCCGATCTGGAGCTGTTGACGCATCCGCTTCTTCACCACGCTGGGTATATTGATCAGGGAGCTGCGATAGTCGGTGAAGCTGTCCAGGCTGTCCGCGGGCGACTCTTTGCCCATCTCGGCCATGCCCAAGCGATGCATACGCTTCTTGAGCATATTGTCAATGTCCGAATGTGGAGGTGGGCTCAATGCAGCCGGCTTGGCCGTCGCGCCGACCAGCTGATCGCCAACCACCTGCTTGCGCAGCTCACTCAAGCGTATGTCCTGGCTGACCCGTCTACGGTTCTTCGCGAGTAAGGACTGATGCGGCCCTGGGTGCCTCACAATACTGGCAATGCTGAAGTCCGAATAGTCGTCGAGGGTGCTCTCCGGCTGCTCCTTGACACCGCCACTGGATCGATCGCTCTGGCTGAGCCGCTGCAGCACGGTCGGCAGCTGCACCGGCTGCTCCTGCTCCTGCTGCATGCGCTGCTTGAATATGTTGGCAATGCTGGACTTTTGGCTCTTCAGCTTCTTCTTGTCCTGCCCCAGGTCGACCTCTGACTGCGCGTTCTCGTTCAGCGGCTGCGAGCCGCTCGGCTCGTCGAGGAAGGCAAATCTATCGATATAGTAGAGCTTCTCCGGCTTCTTGCCGCTGGCCGGACTCATCTTGTACTCGATCATCTGCAGCTTGTAGAGGTTCAGCCGATAGCGCATGCTGCTGATCCGGCTGCGCACGAGCGAGGGCGAGAGGTGGGCGCCCAGCTGGTTGCTGATTTCCTGCCAGGCCTGACGCTTCAGGGCCGCATTCTCGTAGTCACTGATCGTTGTTTTCCACAGGCACGGATACTTGCTGTATAGATCGATGAGCCGCAAGTGGAACTCCTCGTCCTGTGTCGACGGCAGCTTCTCGGCGGCGGTGCTCTTCGCCGAGTCCCGGCGCTGGCGCTCGAGGCGACGTGCTTCCATCGCTCAACCGATCCAAGTGCAAATCAGGAAGGAAAAAGAAAAAAAAAAAAAAAAACACTTCTACAAAAATAAATATACACTGTACAACTATAACCACATGCCTGAAACACGGATAACTGAACTGTCAATAGGTTTTTGGGAGAGTTACGTTAGTCAATATAGTTCAACAGGAATCGAAACAAATGCTTCTAATCGCATGGAAATGTATTTTTTAGACGAAATTTATTTTTGTGTGTTTTTTTTTCGTGAGTCTTCTGTTCTGTCAACCAAACAAATTCTGTTCCATGTCAAAACGAGCGAAAAGTCATCGCAAAGGGCATTGCTATAAAGTAGCCCATGACTTGAACGTCACACTGAATGCTACCTAGTGAACGAGAATGTTTAATTCAATTCATTTTAGGTTGTTACTGACACGAGTCGGACGAATTTTACTTTTCCAAAATTTTTCGACCCAAAAAATAAAACTAAAACATCTAAGAAACTTTCCTTTCTCTACATCTTTCGGCTATAACCAAAAATACCTACAGCACTATCCTTTTTTTTTCTTCTTGAAAATGAATCCAGGAGATGAACGTGTTAAGCCATCAAAGGCGGATAGCCGACGAAAGACTCAAACTCAAATGAATGAACGAAAGGAAGTTGAGGAAATTTTGGGAATGATCTATAGCGAATCACCGGGGGCTGGATGTAGCGGTAACTTAATATCGTCTGAATCACGAATACTGGACCGGATTGAGACTGTTACCTTTCCCGGCCGTTATGTAACCAGAGTTCTCACTGTTCGTCCATTTGAAGTTACAAAACGTTTCGTACGTCCGCAAATAACATTTACTAAAGGGTCTGAGCCAAACGCCGATGGCGTTCTGAACAAACTGTTTGGCATTACGAATTTCGAAAACCTATTGCTTCTGATAACGCCAACAGAAGAACCATCCGAAAAGCACATCGTGCATGGCTATGCGATTGATGGAGAGCGCCATATAGGCGTCACGAGTCTGACCGGCGACGAAAAGGATCTACTTGTCTATACCCAGAGACCAGATAACTACACTATTGTCTTCTGCTCGAGCTACATTGCGCTGGCGGACGCCTTCAAAAAGACGGACATTAGGAATCGCATCTTTGAGGTAACCATAAGTCGGCCAACAAAGCCAATCATTGTGAACTATGACGGCGATGAGATGTCGCTTTCCTTACGGGTGTTTAAGCCCCGCAGGGAGCATCCACCAGTCCCCAAAAAGAGGAGGATCAACAAAGCAGCACAGCGTCCACCCCAGCCACCAGTTGATTTGACCTCAGCAAAGGAATTCCGGCAGAGACCGCGTTGCAGCTCAATGATGCACCATAATGTCACGGCCAAGAGTTTGGCAGCAAACCGCATGCCTCTGGTTGACACGCCGGACATTGGCCCTTTGGAGCAAACATGGCTGCCGAATGGCCATCGAAGATCGAACACGATCATAAAGGCCTATACCGAAATGCAGCTTGGGAAGGACCGTGCGCTGTCCCATTCAAGGACACATATTGAAATGAGCCCCCCACATATCAATCAAGCTGATAGGCCTCATACAATGCTGCAAAGGAGGGCACGTACTCAGCTCCAGATGTCCACCGAGAGCCGCAATGAGCCTCGCAATGCTCACTCGGAAACAAATGCCAGAACGGACTCTGGCAGGGGTCGTCCCAATGTCGGGTTCACCTCGGGAGCTAGCGTGGACAAATCGCCAGCCCGGAGCCGTGCATTTTCCCCGCATGTCGGCTACAATGCTGATGATCAACCATTGAATAATAAAAACTATTTGGCGATGAGAAATGATCGCGGCGATAGGCCGTCTGTGGAAAAGTGTAGCAGCTTGACCAGTGTCACCAACACTCGTACGGAGTCGGTCGAACGTAGTCAATCCAACTCGGCGATGACGCAACGAAACAGCGAAGAAATTGTCAACTCGAAAGGGAATGATTCCAGCGCAAACCGTTCCCAATCGCTGGGTCCCATCGGCGGCGGCGGCAACGGCAATCTTAAGAAGCTATTTAAAAACCGCACCTTTTCGGCTCTTGCATCGGCCCGTTCTGAAGATTCACCAGACAGCTTCAAGGATTTCGATGGAAAATATCGCGAATACGAGGATAAGAAACTAAGAGTTTTAATGGAACCTCGATCGAAGACGCCTCTATCCCAGAAGAGCAGCATTTCGTCATGTAAATGCCTTGAAAAGCATGAATCCGACATTGTATTGTCAGCGCCTCGCAGCTCGGTGATGCTAAGCGATAGTGCAAGCTCAATCAATAACGCTGCAGTACCGACCCAGGCGCACTCGCATAAGTCCATCAGCCGTAGCGATATAGAGGTTAATACTCCAACAGCACACTTATCGAAAGAGACTGTTCGCGAAAGCCATTATCCGTTGCCAACGGTGGACGCTCCATCTTCGAGACCGACTGGTGAACTCAATGACAAAGAACGCTCGAGCCACAGCTCGTCGCGCAAGTCGTCCAGTCGAATCGACAGGACCGACGTGCGAATCGAAGACGACTACGAGGATAGCCTGATGTCGCTGACGAACATGCAGAGGAACGAGGATAGACACGGCAATACATTCCATAGGGAGGAGCTGCGCAGCGTCGACGGTCTACCACCGCCAGGCCCGAGGAGAATGAACGACGACTACAATGACAATTTCCCTAGCGTAAGCGCACCCAGGCGCAGGGTATTTATGGCTGAGAACGACAAGGCGAAGTTGTTGCAGCGTGAGCGCCTATGGAACTGCGCTAAACCACAACGCCGAGTAGAGTTCACTATCGGGACCAAGCGGCCGAGAATCGCCCGGCATGTGTTGCAGAAGAAGCCAGAAGAACCTGTGAACGATAACATTAAGGTCCTGTGTAGTCCTCGTACACTGAAGGACTCCGATGGCGATATTTCTACTGGCAACGCATCTGTATCCACTCTGAACTTTGAAACATCCCAGTCAATCGTGACTGCCAAGTCGTCGGAATTCGAGCGGGTCCTGCAACCGGTAGAGGTACCGCAAAACTATTCACCACGCGCCCAAGAGCTCCTGAGGACCAAGCTGAAGCCCATGAGTGCCAAACAGGCGTTCGAGAATTTGGACAAGCTGGTGAACAAGATCAATTCCCGATCCATACCACAAAACCGACAGCTGTTGCGTTTCTTTCGCCTCGCCGCACTGCTGGATCTCAAGATGTTTGTCCGATTGGAGAGCTACTGGGGAATGCCGCCAACCCTCGAGCCGCGCTGTCGCCTCGAATGCTACATGTTCGACGATCGCAATGAGTTCGTTCTGTCGGTGGGACTGCTCTGCAAGCAGCTCAACATATTTTGCGAACTATTTCCGGCCGTCAAAAGAAACCTACGCTACGTCGATCATGCTCTGCAGCTGACCTCGGCGCCGAAGGGCTTAACCGAATTCTTTCAAGCACTAATGACCACATTGGGTGCCGAGAGGATCTTCAAGCTGGTGGCCGAGCTCATATACGCGTTTTTCCAGCCGCCGGCCGCGCTTCTCGCCTTGGCACATGAAAAGCAAAACAAAATTAAGGTATCTGGCCAAACCGATCAAGAACCACTAGAGCCCGAGCAGAACTCTCTATCGGAAATGAATGAAGCTCTGGAAATGCTAAACTACGAAATAGCCATAACCGATTTGGACTGACCCTCTTGCCAAATAACAGATCATTTACAAATTTAAATATCTTGGCCAAAATCTATCCAAATTACATCCAGTTTAGTTTCGGAATTTTTTCTCCAACCCTACATGCTTGGCGCGACCTAGTTAACATTTATTCCGGTATGTACTTTACAATATTTGAGCGCACAATCGATTTGAAAATTGAAAGTTACGCTACTTCAAATAGATGGGGAAGGGAGAAATGTGAAGTGGGCAGGGAGGGATGTAGCGGCTTAGACTTGTGACAATGCAATGCATCATCAGCAAGTTGAATGCCCCAGACTCAGTCTGAGTCTCAGTCTCAGTCCGTGTCTGTGCCCGTACCGGATCCGTGTTCGTGTCCGTGCCATCATTTACACGCTTCAGGGCACTCGCATTATTTGCACTGTCAGTAGACTAGGGAAGGGAGAAAAAAGTACGCAAGTCTCATAGTTTTCTCATTGTCTGCGCCAGCAAGAAAAAACAACAAAAAATAGAATAAAAGAAAGAGGACCTTAAATATTTACATAGCATCTACATGGCTGGAGTGTGGCAGCGCCGGAAGGAAAATCATTTCACTTAAACAAAAAGTAGTCCGAGCGACAAACTCTATAAAACTAGGTAGCTGCAAAGTAATATCACGCCAGACGGAAGAAAGAGAGAGGGATAGTGAGAGAGAGAGAGGGAGAAAGAGAGAGGCAGCCAAAGTCATAACCAGCTTTATGCGAAAGCAAATGCATGAGAAAAGGTGCAAAGAGCCGAGCCAAGTCGATTGAGTAGTTTTTGCTGTCCGTTTACCCTGGGCGGACTTAAATTGAAATTAGAGCATAGACGTGAGCAATCAGAGCCCCCAGCCACCCCCAGCCACCCCCTGCCAAGTTGCCTTGGGGCTCAATGAAGTGTATATTACATAGACCATTTAATCTCTCCGCCTCTTGCCTCCGCACACAACTTATGAAATCTGACTATTTTTTGCCATCAGAAACATTCTAACATAATTTCATATTTGATTTCTCCTCTCCTCCAGGCGGCAGCCCAATTGGCTGTCCCTTTAAAGTCGATACCATTCATGAGATGCACATAAGGAATGGATTACGTAATTACGTAAATAACTATGAAGGAACTGCAGGATATGCTACCTGTGAATTGGAATCACCGAATCGGTTCATATTCTCAATAACATATATACATCGTCTATATATGCCCATACTATGACCCTCAACTTCCCATTCATATACAAACGAGGCTGTCGCCGATACAAAGTGGATCAGCATCTATCTGTTTAGCAAATGCAAGAGAGATATGCCCCCATCAAGACCGCTTGAATCAAATGTTAAGCAGCTGGGATCACAACATTTAATTATTTTTTAACTTGTTATTTATAAATCATATTTTTATTAAAAAATTCGTACTTTGGGACAAACACCGGCATTTTTTTGTGTCAACTAAAAGCCATAAATGACTATCAAGAATCATATTAAGTCTTTAAGTAGTAATAAATCTACCTCAG